TTTTCGGTTTTGAGTTTTATTTTCATTTTCAATTTGGCTCCTTCCCGCCCGGGTCTGCGGGTCGCAGTCTGTGGGTCGAGGGCAGTTTTTGGGGTGCCGGCTGTCGGCGCTCCCGTGCATCACAGCGGGAGGAAGCAGCTATTTTGGGGGAATGCCCAGCGGTTTTGAAAACCCCGTCCTTGGCGATTTGCATATTTCATGCAAACACTTGCCAGGGCTGGAGCAGCGACTCGGCGCCTTTGAAGTTTCTCGAGTGAGCCGTCTGGATGGGTTGGAATCAGCCCCGTCCCGCAGGGAGCTGCCAGCCCTAAACCTGTTATAAATCGGAACAAACACGCTGCCGCGGAGCACATGGGGACGGGAAGCCACGGGAGGTGAATCGCAGCGCTGCGCTTTTGCAGGGGAGAAGACGAAGGCTGAGGGATGCCCACAGCAAACGCCCTGCGCTGTCAGCGGGGCTGGCGTCCCCAGCCGGATGTGGGAGCAGAAACGGGGCTGATGGAGCTGCTTAGGATGCCGATCACATCACCTCCCAGCACCTTTTTCTTCTCTTTTCCCAGAAATCAGGGGAGCTGGTTGCTGTGAAGGTCTTCAATAATGCCAGCTACCTCCGGCCCCAGGAGGTGCAGATGAGAGAGTTCGAGATGCTGAGGAAGCTGAACCACAAGAACATTGTCAAGTTATTTGCCGTGGAGGAGACGGTGAGTGGGACCAGTGCCTGGAACCCCACTGTGCTGACTGGGCCAGTACCACTGGAGCTGGTCTGAGAGCAGGGGGGGCACTGGTGGCACTGGTCACTGGGCTGGAGCAGGGCTCTTGTCCCCTACCCAGACGTGTGGCACAGGGAGACGTCCTTCAGCACAGGTTGGGCCGAGCAGGAGAAACCCAGGGACCCACCAAGAAGGGAGGGGTCCTGGTCCTGCCTGGGGAGGGGACAGGGTCGGGACGCGGGGCCAGGCAGTGCTGCGGGAGCGGCTGAGCCCTGACGGCTGCTCCCGCTGCAGGGCAGCTCCAAGCAGAAGGTGCTGGTGATGGAGCACTGCTCCGGGGGCAGCCTCCTCAATGTGCTGGAGGAGCCGGCAAACGCCTTCGGGTTGGCCGAGTCCGAGTTCCTCATCGTGCTGCAGTGCGTGGGTGAGTGCGGGGTCAGACATGGCACCTCCGAACGGGGTGGGTTTGTTTTGGGGGTTTCTCCTTGTGAACCTGCTCACGTTGGTCCCCATTTAAGTGCAACCAGCCCTGGGCTCTGTCCCCTCTCATGTTCCTATGATTAAACAAAATGTGCTGGAGCCAAGCGCTCCGTCCCCGCGTCCCAGCGCTGCGTCCCTGTGCAGTGGCAGGGATGAACCACCTCCGCGAGAACGGCGTCGTCCACCGCGACATCAAACCCGGCAACATCATGCGGCTGAAGGGGGAGGACGGGCAGAGCGTCTACAAGCTGACGGATTTTGGGGCTGCCCGTGAGCTGGATGACGACGAAAAGATTGTGTCTGTCTACGGGACGGAGGAATATCTCGTGAGTACGGCGTGTCGCCAGGCTGCTGCCCCTGGGGGAAGCTGGTCCCATCCCTGCATCCAACAGCAACTTGTAGGGAGCAGCCATGATTTGAGAGCCCAATCTCAAAGGGGCCATGTTCGTAATGAGGAGGGCTCAGCATTTCTGTTGTAGAGTTAAGGCGACGTTTCGTTTGGAGGCTCCAGCAGAAGAGCCCAGGCAGTTTGCAAGCCCAGTGCCCAGGGCTCGGTGCCCACTGCAAAGTCACCGGCCACCTCAGCAGCACCGCTCTCTGCTTGGTCCCCGCAGCACCCGGACATGTACGAGCGCGCGGTGCTGCGCAAGCCGCAGCAGAAGGCGTACGGCGTCACCGTCGACCTCTGGAGCATCGGCGTCACCTTCTACCACGCTGCCACCGGCAGCCTGCCCTTCGTCCCCTTTGGGGGACCTCGCAGGAACAAGGAGACCATGTGGGTACCGTGTCCGGGGGGGGTGGCCCTGGGGGACGGCCTGGCTGTGGGTGGGGGTGCCAGCAGCACCGTGTGGCTGTGAGCTGGGGTTTGCTGCTCCTCTGATCCCAAGCAGCCCGGGAAGCCCTGAAGCGCGGCCCATGGAGGGTGTGCGTGTGAAGGATCTGTGCCCCGTTCACAACATTTGCCCTCAAAATGCATTCTCATTATTTTTGTAGCTGGAAGAGGAGCCAGGGTTAATGTTTGCTTGAAAGTTTTTGACTGTTTCTTGAAGTATTTTCCCTCTGTGCAGGTCTTTGCCTTTCCCAGCCCATCCACG